GAGTTTTTAGAGTTTTCTATATATAAAATCATGTCAATATGTTAACTAACTAGAATTATAATAAAAACTTTAAAAAAAGAAACTAAAAAATAATAAAAATCATAAAAATCATGTCATCTGCAAATAGTGATGATTTTACTTCTTCCTGTCCAATTCTAGTGCTTCTTATTTATTTTTCTTGCCTGATTGCTCTAGCTAGAACTTCCAGTACTGTGTTCAATCAAAATGGTGGGAGTGGGCACTCTTGTCTTGTTTCTGATCTTAGAGGAAAAGCTTTCAACCTTTTGAGTATGATGTTAACTGTGGGCTTTTTATATATGACCTTTATTATGTTGAGATATGTTCCTTCTAAGCCTAACTTGTTAAGTGTTTTTTATCATGAATATAGGTTGAATTTTGTCAAGTGCTTTTTCTGCATCTATTGAGGTGGTTCTTTTCTTTCATTCTATTAATATGAGGTATTGCAATGATTTGTGTATGTTGAAACATCTTTGCATCCCAGGGGTAAATTCTACTTTATCATGGTGAATGGTACTTTTAATGTGCTACTGAATGCAGTTTACTAGTATTTTATCCAGAATATTTGCATCTGCATTCCTCAGGGATATTGCCTGTGGTTCTCTTTTCTTGTAGGTCCTTATCTGCCTTTGGTATCAGGATATCAGGATAATGAGTTTGGAAGTGTTCTTTTCTCTTTGATTTTTTGGAAGAGTTTGAGAAGGATGGGTGTTACTTCTTTTTTTTTTTTTTTTAAAGATTTTATTTATTTATTTGAGACAGAGAGAATGAGAGAGACAGAGAGCACATGAGAGGGGGGAGGGTCAGAGGGAGAAGCAGGCTCCCTGCTGAGCAGGGAGCCCGATGCGGGACTCGATCCCGGGACTCCAGGATCATGACCTGAGCCGAAGGCAGTCGCTTAACCAACTGAGCCACCCAGGCGCCCTGGTGTTACTTCTTTAAGTGTTTGGCAAAAATCACCAGTGTAGCCATCTGGTCCTGGGCTTTTCTTCACTGGGAGATTTTTGACAACTGTTCAATCTCCTTATTAGTGTATCTATTTATCTATAGAGAGAGAGAAAGAGAGAAAGAACAAATGTTTTATTAGTTATGAAAAAGGTGAGAACACTACAGGTACAGACATTTAAAGACATAAGAGGCTATTTTGAGCCACTACAGCCAATAAATTTGAATATTTAGATAAAATGGACAACTGCCTGGAGAAGCAAAACCTTAGAAAATCTTCACAAAAAGGGAAGCCTGGCTGGCTTAGTCAGTAGAGCATAGATCTTGGGGTCATGAGTTCAAGCCCCACATTGGGCGTAGAGCTTACTTAAAAAAAAATAAAGAAAAAAAATCTTCATAAAAAGAAATAGAAAATGAAAATAATTTTGTGTCTGTTAAAAAAAACTGAATACTTAATTTAAAATCTTCTTATAAAGACCCATTTGGTTTGGTAATCTGTGAATTCTACCAAATACTTAAAGAAGACATATGTCAATCCTACACAAACCCTTCTATATAGGAAGAAAAACAGTCCTAAACTTTTTAAATTAGCCTTTATACTAAAACATCTCAAAAACATTATAAGAAAAAAATTGCTGGCCAATTTCATAAATAAACATATATGCAAAATTGTACTAATATGTTAGTATACTGAATCCAGAAATATATAGAAGGAGCTATTTATCACAACCAAGTTTGGTTTATTCCAGAAATGTAAGGTTAGTGTAACATTCAAAAATGTATCAATATATTTCACTATATTTTCAGAATAAATGAAAAACATCATATAATCATTTTTTCAGAAACCCTTAGTTTTTCAATTTTTGTTCAATGAACTCAGACACAGTACCATTTCTATAGCTATTACTGAAGTTTCAGAGCTTCATGTAAACACTATAATAAAAATATGTCAACTCTTGAAGGCATTCTTCTTCAAGAAAACTTGCTAACAGCAGGGCCCTTTGAATCACATCCTGTAGATCAATCTGACATTACTATTTCAGCTGTCCCTCTTGAGATCTCTCTGAAGCTACAAAGAAAAGGAAACAATAATTCTTTTATGGCTATCATAATTACTGAAATGGAATCACATGGTGTTTCTGCATGCACTTTTGCAAATGTGTGCTTCTTTGCTTGTTAAAACGTTGTTAGAAAAGGAGTGAAAATTTTGTGTGTCAGAGTCAAGTGGAATTCAAAGATGACATCTTCCTGCTTTTATTCTTGTCTGTAGCAGGCACTTGAGGTGGAGAGAGGCAACCTTATCCCAAATAAAATCTTTTTATTGAATGACCACTCACTCTCAGACTACTTTTATTTGTTATTCAAATTCAATTTAAAAGTTATGATAATACTATAAGCACACCAAAAAACTGTTTTCTAGTTTCTAAATTTAGCTGCATATTCTCTTCTCTGATTAAATTGCTTGATATTCTAAATTATTAAATGCAACTTCATGATGTGGGTAATGTAAAGTTGGTGTGTTTAAAAAAAGCATTAATATTAATGCTAACATCTACTATACTAATGATGTTCCTATACTTTTATACCCATAAAAATGAAGAAAACTCCTTATAATTCTGTGATGTACCTTCTGTTAGTAATCAATGACTTACAATGAGGTCATTATCCATTTTCTACCTTTTTATTGAGATAAATAAAACAGCCAAAATCTTGGCCATTTATATAATATAATAATGTCACTTGTTTAACTTTCCTGAGACCTGAATTTCTCATTTGTGAAATTGTTGCAAGAATACTTGTCTTGTAGAAATTATGTGAGAATTGCAAGAGAGAACATGAAGTTTGGGTGGTGCCTAGTATTTAACATGCTCAATCAAATTTTCATTTCCTTGACTTCTTTCTTGTACCAGGCAATTTCATTTCTGTGTCCCACTCAAAGATCCAGAAGAAAGAGCTCCTTAATCATTCTTTCCTAATTGGACCAGGGATATATCCTTAATTAACATAAACAAATTTAGGTTGGGACAAGCCAATTATCTTTTCTCAATAAATAAACTCTGTCGTAAATACTGGGGCCAACTGGTAGTTTCCTGAATTACAAGATTATGTCAACTTGATTTGGGGGTCTCCCACATTAGGTGTTAAATAAATGAGGCAGTGGAGAAAACAAACAGATAATTTAAGGGGGAGCATGTAAGAGTATGAGAGGGACTGCATAGTTTCCAATGTACAAAGCTAGAACTCTTGTTTCCTAATATTTCTGATCTCATATTTAAGTTTCATTATGCCATGTTCTAAGAGTCTACTCTTTATTTTATATCCCTTTTGAAGCATACATTTTTTTTACTTGTGTGTGTTAAATGTGTTCTAATATTTTACTTGTGTGTGTTAAATGTGTTCTAATATTACCAATCAAATGAGTTTGAGTTATTAACTACTCCAGTGCTTCTAAAATTTTGTTATTTAGAGCAGCTTTTGTTATTTTTCCAGATATTAAGTTACATCATGATTTTTATTAGTATTTATTTCTAAGTCAACTATAAAATTGGTTTGCTGATATTACATAGTATGTTTTGAAACTGACATATTTACCCCAAAAATATTAGTGGATTCATCATATAGTCCAATATTGAAGAAGAAAGAGACTATGAAGATTACATAAGGCTAAGGAGGAAAAATGATCAAAAAGTTTGTCCAATAATTGAATGGGTTGTGCATGAAACACCATGATCCCAAATTTTAGTACATATTAATATTTATGAACATACTATTTAGAATGTTTTGACACAAATATAAAAACAGACCTAATTAAAAGGACAAAGTTATTTATTATGTAAAAAGAAACAAACTATCCAATGATGTCAGTGAAGAACTCTTTCTGACTTTTCACTCAGCTGTCCTCAATGTGTTGGCTATAGTCCTTAGTCTTGTCTTTTCATACAACCAAAATGCCAGTGCAGGCTCTGTGATCCAACACAACTTTGTCCAAAACATAAAAGGCAGTTGTCCACCCCATACCGTTTTAAATCCTGGAATTTAGATTTCTCCAGAAATCCCCTAGCACACTTCCTGTTAAATCTCATTGGATTTAAATTTCTGGTGTGCTCTATTGTCCAAAAAGAATTTTGAATAATTCCTCTTTATTCTCAAATGTGCTCCTGTTTAGATGATAAATTATAATTAAGTTTGTTCACATGCCTATGCCTTAGGAGCATGAGATCCTGAATGAAAAAGCAAATAATCTGGTGTTTTTAGCCTCTCATAGAAAGTGATTTTGGCAAGGGATAATGTAATGGCTTTGGGGTAGGCAACCAATAATGTCTGTCACATGTTAAATACTGAACCATTTCCAGTTTCTGATTATGCAGTTAGACATTGTACAAATTAGATTAATTTATGCTAAAATTCTCTGTGATAAGGTGTCTGTGAATGTGAATTTAGGAAAAAGTACAAATGAGTCAATTTTATTGTTAGGGGAATTTCAGTTTAGTTTTCATATCAAAATACTGATAAAGATTAGCAACTTTTCCACTTTTTGCTTATTTTTTATTACTTTTGATGGTATTCTAAATATTTTCTTTGCTTTTCCCCTAGAATTAGACCCAGTGACCAAGCAACTTATGCTCCATACAGCTAAACCAACTTTTGGCCATCTGACAGATGTAAGTAAAATGTCCAAGTTATAATAAATATCACTATTCATGGTAATTAAATGCAAACATCCATTATATTTTAATGTTTAAATAGCCTTGCTACTAAAATGACTGGAATATTATCCACTCCCTAGAAAATAATGGAGTAAGATATTTTCACCTACTTAGGCGGTTTAATGTGGGGTTATTGTAATATTTTTGACAATGTGGAGATTTATAATAGACTACACAAATTTTCATAGCCTGTGTCAACAAAGGTATACCATATAATCATTCTTACATAAAGGAGATTCCCCTAAGGGGCGCCTGGGTGTCAGAGTCGGTTGAGCCTCTGACTTTTGATTTTGGATCAGGTCATGATCTCAGGGTCCTGAGATGGAGCCTCATGTGGGGCTATGTGCTCACTTCAGAGTCTGCTTAAGACTCTCTCTCCAGACTATGGACTCTGAGAAACAAACTGAGGGTTTTGGGGGGTGGGGATCGGTTAACCTGGTCATGGGTATTAAGGAGGGCACATATTGCATGGAGCACTGGATGTTATATGCAAACAATGAATCATGGAACACTACATCAAAAACTAATGTTGGAATGTATGGTGATTAACATAACATCATAAAATAAAATTTAAAAAAAGACTCTCTCTCCCTCTCCCTCTTCCCTCCCTCCCCCTGGCTCTCTCTCTCTCTCTCTAAAATAAATAAATAAAATCTTTTAAAAAAAAAGTTTCACCTATGTTTTCTTCTAGGAGGTTTACAATTTCAGATCCTACATTTAAGTCTGTAATGAATTTTGAGTTGATTTTTGTGTATAATGTAAGATAAGGGTCCAGTTTCATTCTTTTACATGCCTACAATATGTGACAACATGGATGAACCTGGAGGATCTTATGCTAAATGAAATAAATCAGTCACAGGAGGACAAATATTCCATGATTCCACTTATATGAGATATCTAAATTAGAGCAAAGAATAGAATGAGAGAGAAATGGATAATTGCTAATCAATGTATAAATTAAATCAGTAATCAATAAAAGCAATAATATAATCAATAAAATTTCATCTATGCGAGATGAATGTGTTCTAGAGAGCTACTGTACAACATTTTGCCTACAGATAACAATACTGTATTGTTAATTAAAAATCTGTTAAGAGGATAAACCTCATGCTAAGTGTTTTTAGGACAATAAAATAATTTTTATAATTTCACATTTTTAAGAGCAATACATTTAAATTGACATTTCAAAAGCTGTGCATAAATTTTTTAGTTTTAGCATGTCCTTCTTATGTGACTAAAGTATTACTTGTAGTTGTAATAAATACACATTATGCCAATCTCTATGAAACTTATATTTACAATATGCTATAGAATGCATAGAGGACCATTATAAATTAGATCACATTAGAATAGTTATTTCATGTTAGAATACTTGATAACTTATATAAGAAATGTGAAGAAACCCTTGAACACTTTATGATAATAATGAAGAATATGGAGAAAGTTTATATCAATAACATTCCAGAGAGGTCTGGAGAAAGCCAGATGTCCTGACGGTATTATTCTACATGCAGGGAAGGTAGAACCCAAGTCCACATGTCTGGAGAAGGTGTTTGTAAAAGGTGGCAGACTATGATGTGTCATATGAGAAAAAGGTAGAGAAGTCAAAGGGAAAGGAAACAGGTTGGCTGTTTAACCAAATACGATCTTTGAGAACTAGAAATCCCTAAAAAGAATTTTTAAAGACTAACTTGTTTATAGTGTGGTGCTCAGTGCTAACCCTGCCCTCTGTCTCCCCACAAAATCATTAGTGAAATCTACATGACTCATTCTGATGCTTTCAATGTTTTCTTATGGCTGAATTTGGACATATGTTGAGTCTTCCTTTAATGTGTGGTGAAGTCCCCCAATGAGGACAACATCTGGGTTGTATTTTGAGAACTTAACTAGGATTTGCGATTAAGGTGCAGCTCTCAGCTGTATTTTGGATTAAATCATCATGATGAAAGTGAGACAAGAGTGTTTCCTCACTGTGGTTGGCAAATGACACAAACCATGTTGATAGTTAGCATATGATTTCATAGAAGAGGAACATTATGAGATGAACATTTGCAAAGTTTAATACTGAAGATTAAAATAAAGTGCTAAATTCATGTACCATTTCATGTATTGAGTGAGAGAATCAAGAAATGATATTCTAAAGTCTTAGGCTAGTAATGGATATGTAATTGAGCTACAAAAGTTAACCAAATTCTTAAGATAGCAAAACCTTTCCGGGATTGTAATAAGATGTCCATGGCTGATGTTGCCTGGAGAGGTAGAATTTCTTGGAGAAAGTACTCTATTGGGTGATTCGGTCATCAATTGAGTATTAGAATGATTTGTTGAGGTTAAAAGCAACCAAAAAAATAGAGAAATGTATGGGGAATGTAATGCCAGTGACATAAGAAAAATATTTTGATTTGTGGTTAGAATATGTCACTGAAATGCTCAGGAGTAGGAGGTATAAAGTAGAGAAATGAAAAAGATTACAAAATCATGTTCAAGACTAGTCCTAGGAATTCCATAAGGTGGACATGTCTCTGTTTTGGGGGCAATATGTTATAAAGTGGAAAGTAGCCAGGATTAAGATGACAAAGATTCTCATCATAAGTCAAAAAGACAGGTAATAAGAGACTTCTACATATATTTTAGAACTCCAGAGACTTTGTGATAAGATGATGTGGAGAAAATGTTAGAATTACCCAGAGATAGTTACTTCAAGAGCTATTTATAAATAAGCCCTTCTGGAAAGACCTTGAATTCATTAAAACCCCAAATTTTCCTCCCTCCTATTGGTCTCTTAGTAAAGCTAATTCAAGAGGAAGAAGATTAGAGGTAATAATGCCCACCCTTAGTAGATAAAATGGAATCGCTGTCTTGAAACTTCAGTTGTCAGTTCAAAGTGGGCCATTTGCAGATTACTAACATGTGACTCAGCTGCCTGAGGTCATATGTGCTAGAGAACAGGAAAAAATTGGCCTCCAGAACTTGCCCTAGGCACTGAAATTACCCACTAATTTAATTCTGGTCTGATGGTTGTCCTACATAGAGCTGATATGACCAAAAGAGACATGCAGAAGCAGATTTGGAAATAAAAACAGAGGACTTTCCAAGACTCTAGGAAGTAGAAACACTTAGCCACTCATTTTAGGTTGTTTTAAGGGTACAAATTATATGCTTGTCATAGAGAAGTTAACTTTGAAAGTAAGGCAGAGATAACAGTATTAGAAGCTAAAGTGGAAAAAAGGCCCACATAAAGATGTTTCTGGCAGGTGGGCTCTAACTCTTAGGATGAAATGTGTTTAGTAGGTGAGGACTGAACTTCGGAGTTCCCCTCTGTATTTCCCCTTTTGTAGCACTAATTGCATATTCCCTGAACTTAAGATATATCTACTGACTTCTGCTGACTCAAGTATAACTTTGCCTGACTCTACTGAGAGGGACAAGTCCAGAATTAAGAGAAGAGACTCTCTTGAAAGATAAGTCATCAGACCAGATCAGAAACACTACTCAGAAGAGAACATTGAGAAGGCTCCTTTATTCCTTAGGAGAGGAGTTTAAGCCAGTACTCAGTGGAACCCTGGGGATCACAAGTAAATTCTGGTGTTCTTGAGATTTTTTTGAGGGAGATACAGAAGTTTTTTGTGGGATATATATAAATGAGAAAAAGGATTTTATTCACGGGGTTAATGGATATAGGAAGTGCTGGAAAGGGCTGGCTAACTGGCAGGAACAGCCACCTGCATGAGCAAAGATATAATCTATGCATTCTGGGGATCTGAACATAATGGAGAATGTGATATATCAGAGAAACAGGCATTTAAAAGACAGCAGAAAGAGCGAAATGGAGTAAGGAGAAAATTCTAGGTTGGAATTGTGGCCAGAGAGAGACTTAGAAGAAAATAAACATTTCTAACTAAACTTTAAGTTGTTTGCTGTGGCAGGTTTAAAAGTAAAAGTTCTGTTTTCCTTTAGAATCTCCAATTGCTCACTAATGATTTTTCTGTGATTTTTTTTTTAATGTTCAGTAGAAAAAAGTACCAAATCCAGCTTCAGGTTTAGAGACAGGGGCAAGAAGAGATGCTGCATACAAAGCTAGCCACATGTATTAAACTATGTAGCACAAGAAAAATAAAACTTTATTCTCCAATGTGTTAATAATCATGCAAGTGCTCACTTTTAATTCTGTATTTGTCACTATGTTGTTTTCTGACAATTCTAAATCTACTTCAAATTTGGCCTCCTTCAAGACCATCTATTAGTGAAATCTACATGACTCGCTCTGATGCTTTCAATGTTTTCTTACGGTTGAATTTGGACACATGTTGAGTCTTCCTTTAAGACTAATGTGCGGTGAGGATGGAAGTCCCCCAAAGGGCACGACATCTGGATTTGATTTCAAGAACTGAACTGGGATTTGTGATTAAGGTGTAGCTCTCAGCTGCATTTTGGATTAAGTCATTATGATGAAAGTGAGAAAAGAATGTTTGTACAAGCTAGTATTATTTTAACTAATTCCAGCAAAATCAAAATTAAAAGAACCGAATATATATCTGAATAAAATACCTGTATCTTTTATGCACCTTATTTGTGCTGATCAGCATTTTTTTTCACAGACCTACAAGTTTATAAAAATGAGGAGTTTCAGACCACAGCTCATTTGTGCCTGTATAATTACTGGATGTTTAAACAAAGCCAAATTCTTACGGCCATAAAGAGCCAGCATTGAAATTTAGCTTCGATTTCACTCCTCACTCATCTACTCAAACTGTTTAATTCTCCTGTGTTTACTTTTAAAAACACTGTTGTTTTGGAGCCACTGACTGGGTGGCTCAGTCGGTTAAGTGTGTGACTGTTGATTTCGGCTCAGGTCATGATCTCAAGGTCCTGGGATTGAGCTCTGATTTAGGCTCCCTGCTCAGTGGGGAGTCTGCTTGTCTCCCTCTCCCTCGGCCCCTCTCCTCTCTGCAACTCTCTCTTTCACACACACTCTAAAATAAATAAATCTTTAAAAGAAACAAAGAAAACTATTGTTTTACCTTTCACAATTAATCTACAACAAATCTGGAAATGACTTTTGTGTATGGTATGAATTTAAGGTCAAGTGTTTGTTTTTGTTTTTTACATATGTCTAATTTTCCCTGCTTTATGTATTGAAAAGACCATCCTTTACTCATTGAACCACATTGTCATCATTGTTATAAATCAGGTGATTATATATGTATGAGCCTCTTTATATAGTCTCTGCTATGTAATAGAGGTATATTTTCCCCCCACACCAATGCCAAAATAGCTTAATTTTTGAGGATTATATATAAATTCTGACTTTTTTCATAGAATGAATCCTCCTTTCTTGTTCTTCTTCATGATTGCCTTGCCAATTCTCTCCCTCTTTGAATTTCCATTTAAACTTATCAATATACACAAAGTAACCTGCTGGGATTTTAAGGTTTTCTATTTGTCTTTGCTTTTCAGTAGTTTTATTTTGATATGCCAGCTTTTGGTTTTGGTTTTATTTATATGTATTATGTTTAGGTTTAGAGCTTTTTGAATCTACTGGTATATACCTTTCATTAGTTTTGGAAAATTCTCAGCCAGGAATTTTTTCATATAAAGATCCTGCCCCATTCTTTTCCCTCTCCATCGCAGACTCCATTTAAATATATGTAAGAAATTTGTACTTTGAGTGTCTTGTCTCCTCTATATTTTCTATATTTCTATTTCTTTTTATTTCTGCTTCAGTGTATTTGCATACTTTCAATTATTCTTCCTTCCCAGTTCACTAATCCTATCTTCTACTCTAATTTGCTGTTAAATCTAACTGTTGAGTTCTTAATTTCCAAATCTGGGTATTTATCCAAAGGAAACGAAAAACATTAATTCAAAAAGATATAAGCACACCCAAATGTTCACTGCAGCATTATTTACAATAGCCAAGATATGGAAGCAACTTTAGTGTCCGTTGATAGATGAATGGGTAAAGAAATTGTGGTATATATACACAGTAGAATATTATTAAATCTTAAAAGAAGAATGATATCTTGCCATTTGTGACAAAATAGATGGACCTTGAGGGCATTATGCTAAGTGAAATAAGTCAGTCAGAGAAAGACAAATATTGTATGATCTCTTTTATATGTGGAATCTAAAAAATAATAATAGTAAATAAAGAAAAAAAACTCATATAAACTGAAAACTGATTAGTGATTGCCAGAGATGGGGAATGGGGTGGGAAAATGAATAAACTGTGTTTTTTTTGTTTAAATAAATTGAATAAAAAATATATAGGTTTCAATTATCAGATGATGTCTACATTTTTTCATCCTTTTAACCCACTTTTCAGACTTTTTCTTGAACATGTTAGTCAGGTTTTTTTTTTTTTTTTTTTTCCCTGTGGTAAGAACACTTAACATGAGATCTACTCTCTTAACAAATTTTTAGGTGCCTACATAATGTTAACTATAGACGCAATGTTGTATACTTGATCCCTAGAGCTTACTCATCTTGTGTAACTGAAACTTGATATCTATTGAACAGCAACTCCTTATTTCCCTCTGCCTCCAGCCCCTGCAAACCACCGTTCTACTCTCTGTTTCTAAGAGTTCCACTGTTTAGACACCTCATATGAGTGGAATCATGCAGCATTTGTCCTTCTATGACTGACTTATTTCACTTCACATAATATCCTACAGTTCATCTATGTCGTTGCATATGGCAGAATTTCCTTTTTTTAAGGTGGAATAATATTCCATTATATGCATATACCATATTTCTTTATCTAAATCATGATGGGCATTTAGGTTGTATCCATATCTGACTATTGTGAATAATGTGTCAATGAGCATGGAACTGAATATATCACTTTGAGATCTTGATTTCAATTCTTTTGAATATATACCCATTAGTGGCATTGATGGATCATATGGTAGTTCTATTTTAATTTTTGAGGAATCTCCATACTATTTTCCATAGTGGTTGCACCATTTTAGATTCCCATCAACAGTATACAAGGGTGCCAATTTCCCCATATTCTTACCAACAGTTGTCTTTTATTTTTTAATAATAGCCATCATAACAAGTATGAGGTGATATCTTATTGTAGTTTTGATTTGCATTTCCCTGATGATTAGTGATGTTGAGAACCTTTTCATACATGTGTTGGCCATTTGTATGTCTTCTTTGGAGAAATGTCTATTCAGGTTGTTTGCCCATTTTTATATCAGTTTATTTGTATTCCTTTATCGAATTGAAGGAGCTCCTACTATATTTTGGATATTAACCACTATCAAATAGATGGTTTGCCAATACTGTCTCTCATTTCATAGGTCACCTGTTATTTTCTTGTTTTTGTTTTTTGCTTTTTGTTTTTGTTTGTTTTTCTTTTTCTTTTTTTTGCTATGCAGGAGCTTTTGGTGTGTTGTGGTCCCACTTCTCTATTTTTTGCCTTTTTTGCTTGTGCTTTCGGTGTCATTTTCAAGATATCATTGCACAGACTAAAGTCATGAAGCTTTTCTCCTATATTTTCTTCCAGGAGTTTTATAGTTTCAGTCCTTAACTTTTAACTCTTTAATTCATTTTGAGTTGATTTTTATGTATGGTGTCAGATAGGTATCCAATTTCATCCTATTGCATGTGTATATCCAGTTTTCCCAACACCATTTGTTGAAGAGATGATCCTTTTTCCCCATTGTACATTCTTGGCATTCTTGTTGAAAATCAGCTGATGGTGTATGTGTGGGTTTATTTGGGGGCTCTTTATTCTGTTCCATTGGCTTATATGTCTGTTTTTATATGAGTGAGATAGTGTTTTAATTGCTGTAGCTTTGTAATTTGAAATCAAGAAGTATGATGCCTCCAGCTTTGCTTTTCTCTCTCAAGATTGCTTTGGCTATTTGGGGTCTTTGTGGTTTCATAGGAGTTTTAAGATTGTCTTTTCTATTTCTCTAAAAAAATACCATTGGGGTTTTTATAGGGATTGCACTGAGTCTGTAGAACACGTTGAGTAGTATGGATATTTTAATAATATTAATTGTTCCAGTTCATGAATATAGGTTCTTTCTGTTTATTACTGACTTGTTTAATTTCTTTTATCACCATTTTATAGTTTTCAGTGTACAAGTTTTTTATCTCCTTGGTCTGACGCTATTGTAAACAGGATTATTTGCTTAATTTCCTTTTTGGGTGGCTCATTGTTAGCATATAGAAATGCAGCTGATGCTGATTTTGTGTCCTGCAACTTTATTTCTTTTTTTGAGAGAGAAATGGAGAGAACAAGTATGGGGAGGGGCAGAGAGAGAGGGAGAAAATCTTAAGCAGACTCTGTGCTGAGCACAAAGTCCAACACAGGGCTCAATCTCAGGACCCCAAGATCATGACCCAAGCAGAAATCAAGAGTCCAATACTTAACTGACTAAGCCACCCAGGCATTCCTGTATCCTGCAACTTTAAAGCCAGACAAAGACACTACAAGATAAGAAAACCACAGCCTAATATCCTTTGAGAACATAGAATCACAAATCTTCAACAAAATACTAGCAAACCAATTCAATAGCACATTAAAAGAATCACACATCATGAGCAAGTGGGATTTGTCCCTGAACAAGAATGGTTCAACATAAACAAATCAATTAATGTGGTATGCCACATTTATAGAATGACAGAGATAAAAGTCACATGATCATATCAATATATGCATAAAAAACATTTGACAAAATTAATTACCCTTTCATGGTAAAAACTGTCATCAAATTGGGTATGGTAAGAAGGTACCTCAACATAGTAAAGACCATACACACTTAACAAGCCCACAGCTAATATACTCAGTGTTAACCAAGTTTTTCCTCTAAGATCAGGACCAAGGCAAGGATGACCACCACACCACTTCTATTCAGCACAGTACTGGAAATCCTAGTCAGAACAATTAGACAAGAAAAAAGAAAGCATCCAAATCGGAAAGAAAGAAGTAAAATACTGCTGGGCTTGAACTTATAAATGGATAAAACACTAAAGACTCCACAAAACAAAACAAAACTGTCAAAATTATTTTAAAGTCCTTACCTACTATAACATTTGAATCATCTGTGCATCTAGATCATCTAATTTTTTTTTTTCTTGGTTCTCTCTCACATTGTCTTACTTGTTGCCATGCCCAGTAATTTTCAATCTAATGCTGGATATTTTGTATAAAAATTCAGGGACTTCACATGATATCCTCCTAATAATAGGCTTCTTTGTTTCCTTCAGTGGCAGATGGAATGGGGAGTTCAAAACTTAAAGCAAGCAGGGAATTAAGGCTGCATCATAACTTTGGTAATACTCAGTCTATTATTTCATTCCTGTCACTCACCAAGGTTTTTAATGGAATTTGAAAACATCATGGGGGCCCCTCCCCTAACAGTTCCTGAAATCTATTTTTACCTCTCCAGGAAAGACTGCTGAAAATTCAGCTTTTTTTCAATGGTTTTTGGCTAAGCATTTTAGGTTCTTGCCTTGCACGGTTTCGGGGATAGGGGCAATAATTTACCATGTATTTGAGGCCCATAAAGTCTTTAATTTTGTCACTATAAACACAAGAGACCATGATTATCAGATCTTTACGTCTTTACGGGATTATAAGCTATCTGAAGGCTTAAAAAAAAAAAAAAGATTTTTCTCAGCTTTTCTAATTGTGTTTAGCAGGAACGACAGTCTACCACAAAGTAATCCACTTTACCAG